CAAAAAGGAAGGGAAAAGTTGGGGATAAGAGAGAAGGTGAACCTGACCTGGTGGTGGGAGCACTACTGGGAGGTGAAGATGAGGGTTTAGTCCCTCTGAAAAAAAGAGTCTGGGACTCGGTATTTCTGCTTCCTGAATGCTGTAGCAGCTGGGCATCATCGGTCACTCCTGGCAACTCTGCTCTGCCAAGAGAAACAGTGGCTCCTGCACAGCCTGGCTGGTGCCTCCCTGCAGGGAAGGCTGTAGGGCTCTGGGGCCAGGGCTGATAGTGATGCCTGCTTTGTAGCACTTGGGAAAGCACTCGAATTCCTGATGCATCTGTATTTAATGCTGCTTATTGCCAAAGCCACAGGCAGCCAGATTTTTTGAATAGTTTTTAATCCAAGTCTGATGTGCCCATTTCTCTGTGGATATTGGGGTGAGTCTGCTCAGGCAACACAGGGTTTGAGCCCACTGCACGCTGGGCTGGACTGGGCTTAGTTTGCTTCAGGTTTCTTGAACCTCGTGCTTGGAATGAAAATGTCAAGGTCCTTCCTGCACAATATTTTCCACATCATCGTGCTTGGGCTTCTGCATAATGAAAAGTCAGTAATCTAAAAAGGGAAGAACCAGGATGCATCTAGTCATGCGTCCCAAAGAGCATCTTCATTCCTCAAATTGTCTACGTACCAAGAATGCCATACTTCTCACAAAGCAGCATTTCTTAATCCTCAATTTTAAACCATTTTATGAACTTCTTTCTGTTGCAAACCTAATGACAGTCACTAGGGCTACATAAACGTTTTCTAAGTAAATAAATATTTGCATTATATACAGGACTAGCATGTTTCGTTAGTTTGTACATATCTGGCTTTATAGTGATTTAAATACAAGTGGTGAATCATGGGGTAAAAAATGAGAAAAAACATACTTGTGTGATGTGTGTGTTCACTGCCAGGTCTGTATTACATTCAGCGATTTCGGGAAAATGCAGAACGTTTGCAATCTACTCATTGAAAAGTTAGGAGCCTCTGTTACCATCAGCCCACCTCATTTCTACCATACACCAGAAGCTGTAGACACCCTTCGGTAAGTTCTCTCTCATGTCACAAATTTTAACAGTTAATATGAATACATAGTTTATATTTATGCTGTTTGTAATGGGAACAAATAGTTTCCTTTATACCTATTAAAATTTATGTTTCAGTATTTGTTTTAAATATAACTTACACATTAACACCATTCATCCTAGAAGATACAGCTTGGTTTTTTTTCTACAGTGTTGCTGTGCAAAAGCAGAATGTTATAAAAACTATTTTCCCGCTGCTTTCCATTGGAAGTGTAATCTTCTGTGAATATTTATTAGGTCAACAGAATTTGACTGTGGCTACATCAGCACGTGTAGATTGTATTTGTATTTATTCATGAAGGTACAAGTGTGTTACCAGATGTTGATAATTCCAAGTACCCTTGCCAATTCCCATTACTCTCAGCTGCTGACACGATCTGAAAAGAGCCATGAACGGTGCTTGCTCAGCCAGTTTTGATATTTCAGGTGTTAATTTTTCAAAGTCCTGCTTCTCCCCTTGACACTCTGGGGACAGAGGGAAGTTTAATCTTGGTTTGGGTTTTACCTCTTTAAAGAATCGTGCCTGGGCCAAGAAGCGAGCTCAGCTAGCTGCTGCTAATAGTTCTGGAGCTGGCAGAAGTGCATCATCTCAAAGGCGTCTATGCAGCAGCCTGGAAATCAGGCCAGTGGGGTTAGAGAGGTGTTCCCAAACACCTGGAGCGAGGGTTGAACTCTTGTTCTGCACCACCCACCACCGATGCCTGCAGCATATGGGTGTTAGGAATGCATGATCATAGCTGATGGGGATGCTGATGTTTGCACAGTCCCCTCAAACTCCTAAACCATCACCCAGAACCTGGGGGAAAGTGATGTTTCTTCCATCTATGCAGTTACAAAAGCTGAGGTATTTAAAAAAAAACCCAAACATGTATGGGAGGAATACTTGTGCATCTGCTGGCCCTGCTTATTATTGTGCTGCTTTCTGTACCTCTCAGCCGTCAAGTGTGTGTTGCTGCTGTTGGAAACACACGGTGGAAAGCTCAGGAAGTCTGTCGACTGTTTGGCCAGTCATTGGGAAAACCTCTACTGATAAGAGAAGAAGAAACGAAAGAATGGGGAGGCCACACAGACACTCACCCACCGACCTCCCCAGATTCACTGACTCTGCAGGAAAGAATCCAGAATGCTACAGCTTATGCGTCTTGTAGAGTGTTTGCTGTGTTTGAGATAAAGGGAAAAGAAAACAGAAGAAACAAATTGCTCTAGAAATTTTCAAGTCCTACACTTTCTTTTAATAAATTTTTTATGCTTTCTTGGGGTTTCTGTTGTTTTTTTACTTTATTCTTATGGTAGCAAGTAGAGTTAAGAGAGGATATTAAGAATGTGGGTTGTGTAGTGCACCAGCGTTAGGTGGTTTCTTAACATCTGTCCGTGTAACAAAAAGGAGATTAACTCTTCCTGTGCATGTATCATTTGAAAGCAGCACAATGTGTGTTTCTGCATACAGAGCAGAGTATTGCAGGATTTACTCACTACTGCTCTCCTCAGAAATATTTCGCTTCCTGTTGGCTTTTATTTAGCTTTATCCCCTAAAATTAAGGTTACCATTAATTCTGAAAGTACAGTTCTTAACTGTTCTGTTTCTCCCTGTGCCCTGCTGTAAAAGGGCAAGATACTTGATGTGCAAAACCTCTGGTGCTCCTAGCTGAAACTTAGCTATATTTAAACCTTTTCTCACAAATTGGAAGGAGATTAACCCCTGTCCCAAGTTGTGGTAAACTGAACATACAGTGTGTCCACTTCTGATGAAATGGAGTGTTCAACAGAAAGCGTGCTTAGGAATGTTTTATTTCATCATGGGAAAAAATATACATGGGTTTCATCCTGATGTCTAGTTGTTCAAGTTTAAAAAGAAAACATGTTGTCTGGATTGTATGTACAAACACTCAAGTACTTCAGTCATGAGGATAAATTCTTTTCAACCATGGCTGCATAACGTATTTTGATCCGTCGTATCCACTGAAATAGGCTTTCATATCAGGGTGATGCACCTAAGAAAATAATATTTCAAGTTGAGTGAGCACCACTATTAGCAATAAATACAAACTGATACTTCAATGACATTTTAAGGTACTACAGTTAACTTTGTGAAAACTCCTGGTTAGTTTTTAAATACTTAATGTACACAGAGATACTTTCAGTGAGATTTTTTCCATGTACCTTAGCTTAATTTATGTCATCGGAACAGTGGCTTTCTCAAAGTACTCTACAGATGTTGAACAAATGAGGTGATACTACATGCTAGATCTACACCAGCACTGATGTTTAAAATCAGGACTGTTTCATATTGAAGTAGTTGCCATTCACTTGTTGCTGGTAGAGCTATTGGTTATTTTTTTCAGCTGGATCAGTTATCTAATCAGTTTACTGGAACAGTAAATAAGTAATTGGGGAAATGGTGAGGACACACCAAGTTGATGACCTCAGGTACCACGATGTCCAACCTGAAGATGCAAATCCGCAAAGGGCAATCCAAGGTACACGCTTTGTCTGGTGCAAAAGGTCTACAGGAACAGGTTGCAACTGGCAAAGAGTTAGGACCAGTCCAAGCATTTTCTCATCAGTCTCAACTCTTCAGGCAATTACTCTGCCTGTTAAGTTGTAGGAAAAACTGAGCAGGGCAATCCACAGACCTTCTTTTGAACTTGAAGTCTAGGCATGACTCACCATTTGTAATCAGTCTCAGCTAGACAACTCTGAAATACCTGGTTTTGTGAGCTTGCTACCATCAGTTCCCCTAATAATCTGTGGAGAGAATCAGCCTGCCATGCAGGTGAGTAAAGCTATCCTATACCTTAAAGGCTACTTTACACAAGGAAAGTGTTTAAGGTGAGGTACCTGTTTCTCCCCTTGGACTATAAGGTAACCAACGGCAGCCAGGTGACTGACATAATGAAATGTGCATTTTTAGACACCTAAGTTAGAGTGGTCAGAACCCAATTTTAAATACTTGCAACACTTACCTGGGACAGCACAGTTCATGCTCCTAAATTCAGACACCTTAGCACATTTTATATTATAATGGGTGGCTAAAACAGAAACAAGGACTTGAACTAAGGCCTCTCCAAAACAAAAGAGGTAATGGTGTCACACTGTGTGGCCCCATTGCTTGAGGCGGTCAGTCCTTTTTGTGCAGTGGCAGAGTTTCAAGAGAGAGCACGGAGAGTCTTCAGGCCAGCCTAACTTACACAGCTCCTCTGGGGGGGTTCTCCTTAAAGGCAAAAGATGCCCTTTTACATCTCTTCTCTTTGACTCAATCAAGCATCTCCTGTTAGAAGAATGGTTCAGCTACTTGCTGCTATTTCAGATATGCACAATTTAAAAGAAGGCATCCACAACAGAACTGGATCCTTGCAAAAAGCCATTTGTATGTGGCATGCATGCCTGAAGGCTGTTTTCTGCCTCAGAGTCTCTGACTAGTTTGGGAATCAGGTGCAGCTTGCATGAGCTAGAAATCAAAAGCTACCGAGAGAGATTTTTCAGAGTGGAATTGAGAAGCCACTATACTTTGCTAGTTCCAGTAGAAAGAGATTAAGTGACTTGTCCAACTTTGATAGGTTAGTGAAATCCTAAAACAAAGCCCCTGCCTGCAACAGCCTGAACATAACAATTCAAGTTGCTAAACACTTAAATTGGGCAGTTGGATACTTTGGTCATTTATCACCTTCCAAAAACACATACTTGAAAGTACAGCAGTCATTTGTTTACCTGCGTTCTCTGTTAGTTTTCACTAACTTTGCAAAATAGGTAGTATCTGTTAAGCCAAAGGTCAGCCAACTTGAAAATGTACAGGATAACAAGTTGCAACTGAATAAAACATAAATACTACCTCTAATCCCACTATAATTGTGATTTCTTCCTCAGGAATGTAAGCTGTAGATTTGCCAAATCCATTTGCTTTGTTAATTAGAATGCGATAGTGAGGAGTATCTTTTACATCCTGTCAAAATAGAAGGAAAATAAATAACTTGAAGGGGAGATGATGACTGAAGATTGCATGATATAACCAGTTAACTCTCACTGGTCTTACAGAACCAAAATCCACTCAATATATACATACAGCAGCTTCATTTTTATGATCTTACCCATGTGAGTTTGAAACAATCAAAACTGTAATACATGAAGTTCTTGGCATATCTGAAACCATTTTTTAGAGTCAAGATTTTAATTAACCTTTTCTCCCATAGACCTTGCAAGAAACATGGCTTGGACCATCCCTGCTTTTTGTACACAGGTCCCATACCGAGTTGTTAACTCATCCTTCTTCTTCAACAGAGAACACCATAGAGAAAGAGAGAGAGACAAATCCAGAGCACAAAACCACCTGTGATGATCTTGGTCCCAGTTCTAGACAGAGCTAAGGCAACTTCCATGCACATATAAAAATCTTGCAGCCAAGGAAGGAAAGTGCCTCTGAAAAGAAATCACGGTGGGGGTCCCACCATGCTCACTCCTGTCCATAAACACTCCTGCCCAAAATGTTGTAAAGAACGGCAAGTCAGAGACAGGCGAGGGAAGGTTGGGCTGAAGGCCTGGCTGACGTTCAGGGGGGATCTGCAAGGACCAAGCAGTTGCCTCGTAAAGGTAGGAAGGCATTTTGCAAAGCTGATGCATTTAATGTGAAAAGGGAAAGGCAAGTTAAAAAATCCCCAAAGACACACACTTTAACCACATCATCACTATTGAAATTAAAACATTAAAGATGAACACAAGGTGACGGGAAGAACAGACAATATCAGATACCTAAAAAGAATCAGAAAGGCAGTGGGAAATTTATAGGTGTTCAGCTGGTGACAGTGCCACTGAGAGTGGAGAAGAAAGCCAGGATGCAGGTGTTTTAGGAGCCAAGGATGAGTGGCAGGTAGATAAAACTACAGCAAGGAAGGAACAAACCGCACAAAAGAGGACTGAGTGCTCCCAGCTGAACGTGAATTCTCTGCTACAGGCAGTGTTTCTCATTTTTCCTCATTTCCAGCCCTCTTTGACTCAGTGATTAGTGCCTTCCTGCCACTTCAGCAGCGTGTCAGCGGCCAGCCCACAGAGCGTGCAGCGCTGCATTACCAGACCAGCACTGTCAACAAAGATTAGCATCTGATCCTCAAATACAGCAAGGACTTGGGCCAGAGAATTTCAAAAGCTCCAAGAATTCTAACAAAAATAGTTGTTAAATAGATTTACATTCCAAGTGTCCAGATCCCCAAAAACATTGCTTTCTAACTGATTTTTTTTAAACACAAAGGATTACTTGCATTTCTTAGGTGCAGTGAAGGTGTTACCAGTTGGACCTACACTGGAAGATCAGACAAAAGATCGAACAGCCTCTGAACTTCGGTAGCACACCACAAGAAATCCATTCAAACATTACAGGTTGACGTTGCTACTCTAAATACAACACTGGGTATAAGAAGTGAGTAATTTTTAATTGGAGACATGTCCAGTACAACCCTGACCAGCAATGCTTAAACCCATCCGTGCTGCAAAAGCAAAGCTCTACTGGGAGAACAGCGCAGAGGCAGCGAAGGTGTCGCTCAGCTGCAAGGCGATACGGGACTCTCAAGCGTTTTTCATAAGGTTAGCACCAAGTCCGTCTGTCACAGTGTTTCTGAGGGTTTTTTTAACCTAAGTTATTCTGTGTATGTATTAATAAAGAAAGAGTTTAAAGCTCAGACCTGTTTCGCTGGAGGGTATTTGTGCTGTAGCCGTTCTGGAGCTTTAGCTTTTACATCCCATCCAACGATGACTCCGGAATAGCCCAGGCGTTTGTGAACTATTACCTGGCCCACGCTGAACTGGATATGTTCAGGCTTTGGACTGCGAACTTCAGTTGATTCTGATTTAACAAAGAAAGAGACTTAGCAAGGGTGTTTGATCAAGTATTTAAAATCTAAACACACATTCTCCTGACTTCTACCAGAAGAGAAGTGGCAGATCAATAGGCAAAGTTAAAGAGGGAACAGGTACTTTGTTACATTTTCTGTTCTGCTTACTGAACATTATCAATCATGTGTAGAGAGAAGGAAAAAAAGACGACTACCATGTACAAAGCAAGTATAGAAATCCACTACAGCAGACAATATCACAAGCAAAATCCAAAAGGATTGCAAAGACTCCAATACCTGCAAAATAAGAATGGGTTTCTGCTTCACTGTCGCCAATTTTAGTTTTCTTTTCTCCATAGTACAAATTCCTAAAATGTAAAATTTATAACCCAACATTCAAACAAGTTCTTTAGAAACTGAGTTTTAGCCTAATCGG